CGGCGCATTTTGCACAATTGGTGAGTCATTGACTTTGCATGGATGACAACTAACAAACGCCGGTTGCAGTTTGAGGGAGACGCCTTAGTCACACCGGCGACATCGGTTCAAGCAATGTCAACGCCAATTTCTCAGCAGCTAGCCACCATCTGCGCCGAGGCTAGGGAAGAAGGTCAAATATCTTTTAAAGATGTTGGAAGACAAGGTTCTAGAGGCAAAGATGGTGGCGGCCACCTATGCTGAGAATGGACACGGCATTAGGGGATGATGTACTTCAAGCCATCATGGCATCTGACAAACTTGTGAGTATTTGAAAAAGAGGCCATGGAGTAAATGCCAGTCTGAGTAGTTAGCTATAATGTTGCTCCATGTAGTAATAGTTTCTTTGAGATATGAATAGAGATTCCAAACATGGCTGTCTTGACAGGATGCTGGTTCAATGGCTCATGCAAATCAACAACAGCCATACCGGTCTCATTTCATCTATAACAATTTGTAGGCATGGCAGTCAATCCTCTTATCATTGCCGAAGTTGCACCATCCTGCAAACAACATCACCGGGCACACAAAAACAATGGCAGTATGCTCCGGCGATATACCGCCAGCCTGACCAACTCAGTTGAGTGTACTGGCTCACATGGTCCTGGACTGAATATTTACGTGGAGTCTGGCAGAAGCAACTGGATAAGGGGACCCTTTGTATAAATACCAAATGAAGATGCTGCTTGACCACTTCTGGCCACTGTTCAGACAGCTGATAGCAGTCCACCAGAAACTTATACAAGCCGGACTATCCTGTTTGTGGACATAGATTGGCTACCATTGCCGACAACCTCCAACCGCGCCGATGGGTGCCATCCTGTGTGCTTCAGCAACAGTAAACTAATTGAGCATATATTGAAGCAGCCTTGGCGTTCACTATACTAGTGTGTTACACCGGCGGACATGCAGCCATCGCCTGGTTGAATGAATCTCTCGCCTCTCGAACAGACATTGATAGATTTTGCACTGCCTCTCCGAGTACGCCACATGTCCATCCTTCTGGGCTAGCTTCGAGATGGCACTGAGACAGATCCATTCATAAGCCTTCCAAAGCAAAAAGTTACATGTCCAATCCATTTCATGCTGAACAAGTAACAACTCTTCTGCCCATCAGTCTCTCATAGCCTTGGCATGAAGCCAGTGAACATGGTAAACTGCAACATCGGTGGTATAAGCGCCACTTCCACAGAGTATCGGTGACCTGCTCACACTCATTCAGCCAGTCACTGCTATCAGAGTCCCCTTCGACATCCAATGACCAAAACCAAGCTAACACATTGTCCCTCTGCCCTCTTGAATTTGGATCGGCGACGGCAGTACTGACCTTGAGATGCTCCCTTGTCAATGGTTGGTATCTCTTGAGCAGTGCATCGTCTGCACCAAGTCTGCACAATTGCGATCGGCATTTCGAATGGATACTTGCATTGATGCTGACCGCCCCATCCACTGAATGAACTTGAGCCCAAGCTCTGGTAGACAATGCTTGGGACTTTGCTACTCTGACAGTCTTCCGGAAAATGACCACCTTGTCAGCCAAATGCACCCTGATGTGGTGCAGGGCATCATTTACCTGCCCTTGCCAGAGCGTGAGTTCCTGATCAGCGATATCAGCAATGCCGAGGGCCACACATTTCCCTAGCCCCAAATTGGAAGGCAAAGGAATCACCCCCTTTTCCGGCTCAACACTCTAAGCTCGATGTCAATATCTTCTTCAGCCTCTTCTTGAAGTATTAACAGATCTGGTTGCATGATCTGCATGTCATTGTCGCCTAATTCCTCACTGAGAATTATTGCTCCAGCCGCCATCCAGCGATCAATATCCTGTTGCATGGTATCACGTCGGCGACCAATCACCAATCACTGAGTATCTGTTGCCCGATGTCCAAGCTTTCTCACATCCATCTGCAGCATGACCTGGGCTTCCTCGATAGCAAGGCCCTCTGCCAGCCACGTTGCTGCACCTTTCTGGTGTGCCTCGTCAGGCCACCAGCCTTGCACCATTAACAACCTTAACTCTTGCTGTTTTCTTGTCGGTGCTGTGCAAGAATTGTCGGGAATGCAGTCCTGGAAGTGCTTATGATACTGACAGTTCACATCATAGAAGGTCAATATATGGCAGATGCCCTTGGCATTGAGTTTTAATTCCTCGCACAGTGCACAATCCATATTCATCTGTCTGTTGGCGGTTGGCGATAACACACACGGTCCGAGTGATTGTACACACCTTTCTCCCTTCTGAAAATCTACCATGGCGTGCAGGACAAAACATTCATGCCTCACACATGCGCATCCGCCGATGCCAGTGGCCTCCAATCTGTGACGAGATGCATTTGCCAAATTCACTGTGCGGTGGTTGTTGCACTCCGAGCATTGCACAGCATCCTTAGCAATGGCCAAATGCTCCTTGTACAAGGCATCACTGACTATGAAGCCACAACCATCCATGAGAAACACATCATTGGTGGGATTTGTGGCATGCAGATGCTTGGCTTTGAAGTTTCCGTCCATGACAAGTGATCTTGTGTATAACCAACTCGGAGTCTCTCAACCAGATCCATTGTTAGCATCAATGTCCTCGGCAGTGCCTCTGGCAGGCAATGTGATATTAATTCCCGGCTGAGGACATGCCATACAAAAGAGGGCTAGATCACCAGGTCTCACTTCCTTTTTCTCATGGCCGAAGCCATTCCACTTCAGGAGCTTCAACTTCCGCCATTGTCTTGCCACTCTCATGAGCTCCTGGTAATGGTCCTTCATGGCAATTAATGAAATGGCAGATGATGCACCACAAAGCTCACTGGCACCAAGTGAGGAAAGGTGCTCGTGGTCATCCTCCTTAACTTGCTGTAATAATTCATTGCCGAAGTCCTGCACTCCAGGTTGTCGAGTATGAAGTCATTCAAGACATCAAAGGTAAATGCTGTCTTTGGTTTTATGAATGACGCTGGAAACAAACCCATGTGAAACAACTGTATATCGGTGGTGGCGGCCTCTGGGCATGTGCAATACTTGATAATGTAGGTATGTACTCCAGACTTGTCGACTATTGTTGTCATGGCCTTGTTGTTCCTAATGAATGGCATGCCGGTCGGTAGGTCATGGGCCTCCTTCATGCTCTGCTCAGCATTTGGTTCATTCAATGTGCTCTTGGCATCTGTATCGTCAGAATCTCCTTCCCCTGTAGTGAACAGAGCTGACTTCCCTACATCATCATCCCATGGGCATGCATTTTCTTTATGCCCGAGCCAGATCACCATCCCACTCTTGACCAAGCAACTTTCCTCAAAGAATGAGCCTATCCATTGGCTAATCCGATGGAAGGGAAGCCTCTGGTGCTGGGTTCTGCAACAACTTGTGCAAAAGAGAGGCTCACTGAAGCATCCATGGCATTTATAGACACCATCTGTCCCACAGATGATACATGACCTATCTGATGGAACTTCTCTTCAAGGAGTATGTCAAGATATGCTTTAGTCTTTGGGACCCATTGACGTATATAGTCATTTTGACTCTGAATACAGATCAGTGGTGAAATAGAGGTGATATCGGCGGATGGCTCTCTACCCATTTGCCGACCACCTTTCTCGTCCTATATGTTCTCTGCCACTCCACCACTGCATACTTATATTTCGGAGTCCACTCTTGTAGTCTATAACCTCCCATTTGTTGAGCCCAGTACTGTATAAGAATCTGTAAGAATGACAAGTTTGAATTGACCAATGCAATATGGTCATATCAATTAATCACCATTGGTTACAAGTACATTATAAGAATTATAATATAAGCTGAACCAAGCAGAACACAGCAATCATATCCGCTATATATCCATGATATAAACTGTAATATAGGGTGAATGAACCGAGCAGAACAGAACAAAACCATAGAACACCAATGACAGTCAACCAACTGTTGTTGAGTCTGGAAAGATTCACCATCACCATCCTTTATAACACAATATGCCAAGAAGTGAATCTCCTATTGTGGTTCCACAAAAAAGCTTTGCTTGCAGAAGGCTGAAGTCTTGGTCCTCAGAGCCCACCTAGAAGACTGGAAGTCTGTGAAAGGTAAAGAAAGATTAAGGGTGCTGCTTGCCATCTACAATGAAGTGTCCCTCCAAGCTCCCACCAAGGAAAAGGCCCTGTTGAAAGCTCAGCGAAAGGTATTTAATAGTTTATAACATATCGGAGATCCCGGAGCATGATAACATGTCTGTCAAAGATTTATAAGCAGTGGTTGCAGAACCAGTCTCGCTGGAGAGGAGCTGCAAAGCCCCTTATCAAGTATGGCCATCATTGGATGGTGAGGCAAGTCTTGATTCACACACACAAAGCCTTGATTTGACAGGAGACTGGAGAGATGGCTGGAAGTGAGGGGATGATTACCAAGTGGCCGAAGGCAGCAAAGACAGTCATGAATTGTTTGTCGGTGGAGGAGAGAGCAGAAGCAGAGGCCACACCGGAGAGATGGAACAATGAAGCGGCACCACTGGATATTCAGGCTGAGGTCGCTGAGAGCAAGGGCGCCAACATGATCGAGCATTTCACGACTGAAATGTTCAAGAAAGCCGGCATGAGGGTCTGCATCCTGTCAGCTTGGAAGGACAGCCAAGACAAGCTTATGTTGGGAGGGTGAGTATCATCTCTGATCAATCGGCGATTTATTCAACAGTCACTGCAGAATGTTTAGATGACGAGGACAACGGGAACCCCAGATGGTGAAATCAAAGAAACAAGTCACCAAGAAATTAGTTGAACTTGATGAATACGCCAATGGGTGGCCGATTCTGCCTGACACAATGGGATGGAAACGAGCCAAACAGCAGCACATGATTCAGTCTTTCTTGATGAAGCTCTATAGGACTTGTTTTGCTCTGTCAGATTGTACATCATTCTGATTCTTAACAGGAATGTGCTCCGGCGAAGACAACCTGAAAGTGGCGGTGCCATTGGGAGATGTAATTCATGACCCATGGGCGTTCTCTGATGGCGCCCATTGGCCGGCTGGCATGCAGCTCAAGGAGCCATCCAAGATGGATAAAGCAGATACCACCACCGTACTAGATTTCTGGTTTGACCGCCAGAAAAACGACATGCAACCAGCCTTCTCATAAGGTGTCCGATGGTGTCTTGGCAGGTCACTTGACTGGTGGAATTGAGTTTCTGTTGTTTGGCAGCGGGGAAAGCACCCTCCCAGTTTGGCAAGGCCTTCGGCGTGTAGGGGTCTGACTCGGGAGCCGGTGCTGCCTCTGGCACGGCGGCTATGATAGGTGCCAGGACTACCATTGGCACCAGTGCTGCTTGTGGTATGGCGGCTGTAATAGGTGCCGGTGTCCATTCCCCTACCTTTGCTGGAGGGACCTTACAACTGAACTGGAATGCTAGAATGGTGGTTAATCTTCGGATAACTCATGCATATAGATGAGCGACTTACATTTATTATTATGGTCAAACCCAACATGGGTAGCAACAGCCACTGTTGTTGAAGGTGGCTGCTTCCAGCCGAAGTTGAACTTGGGTGTATGTTCAGCCACCAGTGCCTGAGGAGGAGTCGAGGGTGGCGGCGGAGATATGGGTCTCTTGAGAGGGATCACCGACGCTGGTACTCCATTGTTGGGAGAGTTGGAACAGCTACAGTGGGTGCACCGGACATGCTGCAGCAAGGGCAGTGAGGGTGGAATCTCACTCTCCACATTCATTCCAAAGTTGAATAGTTGAGATGCCTGAACCGCCAGCTTCTCTGTGGCAATGGACCGAGTTCAGCCAAAATTGAATGTTGTGGGAGCTGGGGAAGATGGTGTGGGCTCTGAGTTGACTGCCGCTGGGCCTGGCGTGTTGAGTGATTGGCCTGCTGGAACTGCCGGCTTCTCTGTGGAATAGGATTGAGTCCAGCCAAAGTTGAATTTTGCTGGAGCTGGGGAAGGTGATGTAGGGTCCATTGCTGCTGGGCCTTGCTTGGTCGCCACAAACCCAAAGTTGAATTTTTGAGGTTGTGATGGCATCACAGCTGTTTGATGTGCCGGGTCTGGCACAAGGGCCTCCGCCATGACTTGCTTTTGCACCAGAAACCCAAAATTGAAGGTTCAGGATACGGTACACCTCATATGTGCCAAGTCTGCTGTAAGATGGCTGTGCAAATTCCCAAACCCGACGTGAACCCTAATTGGAAATAAATTAACAATTATGCATGCCACAGAAACACATACTTGGAGGTTGATTGCTGGTGTTGGAAATTGGCGAGTTGGAAGGTGTATCACCGTTCATGGGGAGCTCAAAATGGATGTGACAGTTGCTAGTCATGTTGTAGAAAACAGTGATGAAGTTTCAGATGAGTGATTGGAAGAACCGTCAAAGACGTGAGCATTAAATATGTGCCGATTAGTGTTGTGGCTGCATCTGCAGGGTCTAAACACTTAGCCAGGACAATAGATTGTCTGCATGGGAAAGTGGACATGTGGTCAGAGATCAGTGCTTCTGAATCTGCATGGCACGGATGACCGAGCTGAGTTCGTATTATGACATGAAATTTTAATTTGTTCCATCTGCCATATAATGACAAGCGAATTGTCCCCATTTTTGTTATCTACGCTCACATTCCCTGCTCATCATGCCATCCTCAGAAGTTTCGAACAAGGCCTTCAATGAGGTAACCGCTGGCATGCTCCAAATTTTGGCAAGAGCCTTGCAGTTGACCAAAGGTCCCGCTGGCTACCTGAACATGGCCACAGAGATGGCAAACATCATGGTCAGCATGTCCTCATTAGTCATGCACTGTTACCTAATTAAGCACAGACTCCGGCATTTCAAAGTCATGCACAGTTGGCAACTGAAATCCCACCAATCTTGCTCTCGGTGGCCATGGAATTGATGGAGCATGTAGATTGTGCTGGTCAGACATCGTTTCTTGGTGTTCCGGTGTGGAACAACATCAAGTCTAATGACTCTCGCATCGAGCACCATCAGTTATATGGCAAGGCTCACAAGGTAATGACTGCATCGGCCCCAGCACCAATGTCGCAACCTCCAGATACACCACCGGTAGAGGCAACCACAAATACACCGGCGGTCCCTTCAGTGGTAGCAAAGTCCAAGCCACCTGGAAGGTCTGTCACAAGGAAGACACCGATAGACTTGTGTGCGGACAGTGACGAAGTCAAAATTGTTGGTGATATCACCCAAAGCAATGCTGTCTACAAGAGGAAGCAGAGGTCTGTGGGTGCATCCGAAGAGGTCGCCGTTTGCCATGAAGACAAGGTCATCGCGCCAGCAATTGTAGACAAAGCTGAGGATGTTGCGCCGGGCAATACAAATACAACGCCAACTAGACCAAGGCCAAAGCTGAAAAGCAAGCAGGTGGAGATAGTAGTCTTGTCTGGGTTTGAGGTCCCAATGGATAGGAAAGGGAAGGGAAGGGAAGTTACATTGCCACTAGAGACACACCGGCGGGACCGTGAGTGGAAGAAGTCTAGAGATGTTAGTTCTGGTGGGCCGCCGAAAAAGGGATCTCACCATCCACCACCAATGCAAAACATTGGTGATCAATGGAAACCATGGTATGGAGGTTCAGGTAGGGAGCTTTGTCATTCATCTTTATGTTTGTCTCATTACTGTATTCTCCGGAAAAGGGTCAGCACTAGGACTGCCACATGCGACCAGCAAAAAAGTGAAGCTATGTTGGCGGAACAAAAGGCAATGGTCGCCCCTGAGCCTGTGGGCACCATGAGCATGGCAATGCAGGCTGATGTCAATGCTGTAAGCTCCCAAAATGCCTTGAGTCTTCCTCCTCATTTGGTAAAGAACACTCCCATCACCACAATTCCACTCACACTGCCTCCTCGTCCAACTCAATCGCCTCCATCATTCGCTGCGGACATAAAAATTGACGTGTTTAGTGATACGGTTGCAAGGGATTTTCAGGCCATGACACTAGAGGTGAAACTTGATTCGGTGTTACCCCTCGTGGTGGTTCAGAACACCATCAATGACCTTCAGACTCAGGTGGCCGACATCCGAACTCGGAACACCAAGATGGCTGAGTTGGTTCAAATCATGAACGCCCACCTTGCTGCTCAGGATACTGACATCCGAGCTATGGAGAAAATGTGTGCCGAGATTGCCATATTGCAAGAGGAGGTGAAGGCCTTGCATGCCAAATCTCAGACTCATGAGGGTCAGATACGGAGCACTGATTCAATGTTGACTGCACAAGGACATCGTACTGCCGTCCTGATGGATGCTTATGAGTCCATCCGGCAATGTGTTGTCCCCAACCCACCCATTCCTCATTTTAATAATGCTGTGTTCTTCCCCCCGCCGGGCAGGCGCAGGTGATGGAACGGCTTTATTTCAATTTCACCCCAGGTCCGTCCACAATCACAGGTACTTCCATTCCAAGTATTGCTGCCACACACGCCAGACCTTCAGGTTCCCAGACCAACTGTCCCTCCAGTGAATCGGCATCTGGGAAGGGTCCTGCCGCCTAAATGATTTCTATTGGTCAATATTCTCACAGTCGCCATGTAGTGGTAGATAATTCAGAACTGCACAATAATGTTCTTGTTATACTTTCCCCCTCAGAGATGCGCCATTGTGAGGCACCACCGCAATGCCGGTGATTGCCTTACCTTCCAGCGACCAACACCAAAGTTGTGGTCCACTGTCTTTATCTAGGATGTACACTATACTGCCATGTCTGCATCATTATGTTTGTGTTATCCATTCATTGGCAAGGCTCAGGCACGTGGCTTTCTTAACCAGGGGCCTAAGATTCTTTTATGTCATTATCTTACGTCCCATCATTGATTCCCAATAAGTGGTAATTATAAAGGTGTTGACCAGTCAGTGATATGGTTGTGTCTGTCCCCGCCTCCATGAGTTGGGTGCCTGCTGACTGGGCTTTGGCCACCACTCATCTTGCCAGTGACTATGTTTGCTGCCAGTTCTATGCCATTGTTGGAGTGACACCGAAGGTCCTCCCACCGCCAGAGCTTGATGTTGTTTTGATGCTAGGTTGCTCCCACCTTGCAAGGATCCTTGTCAATGCATATCTTAATCCTGGTGATGACCTTTCCATGCATCTGGCGCTAGTGTTGATTTGAATTGGCTTTAGTCACTATCAACTTCGATATGACGAGGTATTCCGAAGTACTGCAAAAGCAGGAGAGAGGTGTTAACTCTGGACATGAAGAATTTCTCCTCACCCGATACCCGCCAGATTGTGAGATTATCCTGGAGTGTCCTGCAGTTGTCCTAGACAAATTTGGTCTTATCATGCTATGGTACCTCCCCAGAGCAATTGATGCTGCCATTCAGGTAGGCCTGCACTCGCCGATGATCTCCACTCACTGTTACAGAATGACATGCTTTCAGCGATGATGATGATGTCGGGCCTGCTGGGCAAGAGTATCACCCATGGTACATCGCCGAAGGAGAAATGGCGTACCCATGAATCCAATTTTCAAATCAGTGAACATGGCCTTACCTCAGGGTGCATAAATCTATCGCCAGAGTGGTTCCTGCAAGCTCATCCGGTGTGTTGACTTTTCGGAACAGAATATTCTTGCTTGATTTCCTCATAGGCTCCATAGTTTCAGCCTGAAGTGTTGGCGACCCTTAAAAGCGACAATGGTGTGGCTTACTGTCGGGCGATGTGCAGACCGGTGCCCTTGTTTGCCGCTGCATTGAGAGTCATGCACTCCGGTCTTTATTGGGGCATCATTGACAACACAACTGGGGCTTGGGGTTGGGCAGATACTAATTGAATACAGCCCATGGGGAATCACCTCAGAGAATGGGCATCTGTATTTACCAGTTGTCCGCCATCGATGTGGCAACCGGTATAACTCCCTTGCACCGAGATGCTCTGTCCCGTGCTCAATGGTTTGACATAATGACCAGTGTCGGTGGTTATACAATCGGCGCGAATGAAGATGCCAAATATTGGATTGAAATTGCCTATAATCCAGGTGTCATGGCTGGCACCTCAGGAAGAATTGTTAGGCATGGGGGGAACTGGGTGAACAGCGATCGAGTTGGCTGGGTGTGGTACATGAGGGATGATATTCATGAATTTGTAGATGTACCTCGAGGTGATTATTCAAGGTACAAATCTGTAGTTACTGATGCAATGGAATTCACATAGAATTGGGGGTATATATAGTACATTTGGGGATTTCCTCAAGTCATTGATCCTTCTGTTCCATACATGCATGGGCGAACTTCTGAACCAGTCTATAGATGTATCGGCGATGGTCGGTGCCGTTCAGTGCCATATTGCCGGTTCAAGTTTATCAGTGGATCACTGGGCCTGCCTGTCAAACCCGTTAGCCAAGACTGGGCCCAATTCTGCTCATTATATGTGATATGGGCCCACCCCTGATTTAAGATGTTTCTCTTGGGCCTGTGTGCCTATTTGGTTTACCTGGGGTGGGCCCATTGCATTGATATGGCGTCATTAGGCCCACCTGGCCACCACTATACAGGGCGCAGGCCCGACAGTATACAATCCAGAGGCCTCCGGGCCCGTGTGTCCGCCTAACATACTGCTTATTGGCCTTGGGGGGTTTATTATTATTATGCGTCCATCCCATGAGCTCCGAGATAGAGACTTGGGCCCAGCTGTGTTTATGAATGTGGTGCTCCAGGCCCACCCATCTGCCGCACATATGGGACACGGGCCTATTCAATTCAGTAGACATGATATGGGCTCCCTCAGGCGCCTTACCACCGCGCCCCAGCTCAGCCACATATAAAGTAGTATCTGCTTGGGCCCTCCATTCATCCCACTAAGAATGAGCCCATTGCTTTATTCTGCCTGTCACGTGGGCCCCCCTGCTGCATCAAAGCATACTGGTAGGACCCCCAGACTACATCGCCGGTGCGCTGAGTGATCTCTGCCGGCTGTTGATTACTTTTGCACATCTGGTAGTCCGCTACTAAACACCGGCGGTCGTGACCTTATGATCCACCGTCATTTCATCACCACTACATTCACTGGTGGTAGTATTTCCACTCACTGGTTCACTTTTACATTCGCCGGAATGCCTCATTTTTTGG